TGGACCCTCAAGTCTTTCTGACCGATTTGCTTGCAAGCTTTCAGGTAGCAGCTCCTTGCCATCCACTGGTCTCCCCTGGCAACTCCAACGCCATTCAGAGTGGGGAATTTCATACATAGGTGCTTCTGGGATATCACACACCTCAGGTCTTCCAGGGCCGGCCTACCCATGATGATCTTATTCGCACAAGTTAGGCGTACGACAATAAACTCGATGTATACCTTGGATACGCAAGGTTCAGAGCCCACCATCACGGGGAGGACTATGCTGCCCTCCGACTCAATGGAGTCACCGGTGAAGCCCGAGAGTGGGGTTCTCACCGGGATCAAGTCCTTTCGGTCCAAGCCGAGACCCTGGAAGGTGTCATAGTACATGACGTTAACGGAGCTCCCATTGTCCACCAGGACTTGGTGGACGATCGTGTTGTTGATTTCGACCTTGATCACCAAGGCATCCCTGTGCGGCGGAGGCATCGGTGGCAAATCTGTGTCGGTGAAGAAGATGGGATCCCTCTTCACCCTCTTGTCAGCGGGAGCCCTGGTTATCTCCCCGACATACAAGGCTCGGGCCCACTGCTTCCGTTCTCCGGACGTGTCGCCTCCCTGGGGTCCCCCGAATATGAATGAACATCGATGGTACTTCCGGGAGCCGTTCCCTAGGTCGGCATCGTCTTCCTCGAAGAAGGCGCCGAGCTCTCACTTCTTGGCAGACTGTTTCTCATTTGACGTGGTAGCTTGGTCAGATCGCTGCCACGTCAGGCTCCTCTTCTGCGGGATGCCTCTTTGTTTGCCAACGAATTGGCCCAGGTACCCTTTCTGTACGAGTTCCTCAATTTTCCGTCGAGGAATGACACAATCATCTGTATCATGCCCTGATCTCCGATGGAATCGACAATATTGGTCATGGTTGCGCTTGGCGGTCACCACATCACACTCCTCCGGAAAGTCGACTAAACCTTGATCCTTCGCGTAGTCGATGATAGCCCTGACCGGCTAAGCAAGTGGAGTCAATTGCTTGACGAGCAGGAGCGGTCCGTTCGGGACGTCCGCCTTGCCCTTGCCTTTACTTTTGTTACCTTTGTACTTGTTGTTTTTGCTACCGGCTTTGCCGTCAGCTTTCTCAGCACCCGAACCAACTTCCTTCTTCTTCTCTTCTTTTGTGCCTTCTTCCTCATCTCTTTTCCTCTGCAAGGCGTCCTCCTCCTCGGCTTGACGGTCGGCACGGCCGAGCGCCTCCTCGTAAGAGGTAGGGGGACTTCTGACGAAATCTTTGAAAAGCTCGCCCGACCGGATAGAGTTTGTGAGCATGGCCACCCCGGTCCTGTCATCAAGACCCTGAACCTTGACTGACTCGGCCCTCCACCTCGTTAAGAAGGTCGACAATGATTCCTTCTTCTCCTGTTTTAGGCCGAACAGGTGGTTGAAATTCTTCTTGACATCTCGGGAGCTCGCGAACCTCAAGAGAAAGCGCTGAACCAACTCAAGAAAATTCGTGATACTCCCGCCGGGTAGAGAGTCATACCATTCACGAGCTGGGCCATCCAAAGTGGCAGAGAAACCGCGGCATCGGATGGCATCCTCGTACCCCATCATCACCATGTAGGAAAGGTACTGAGACACATGATGTTGGGGTCAGAAGTGCCCTTGTATGTTTCGATGGTGCAAAGCTTGTAGCCCCTTGGTAACGGCGCATCCATGACCGCCCGGGTGAAAGGTTCGGGTATCCGGAGGTCAGTCGTGTAGGGCTCCCCCCCCCCCCCCCCCGACGAACCTTCTTCTCAACTCGTCAAGGCGCTGTCGAAGATCTTCCACCTCATCTGGCGGTGGGTTCCCCTGGACAGCCCTAGCACGGGGCTGGGCATGTTCAACGGCACCTCCAAGTTGCCTATGCACGCGAGGTCGGGCCCCCATGTTTTTCCTTTTCATGGAGCCGGTCCGACTGCTCGCTCGGTGAGAGTGGTGAGAGGACTCGCGTCCTTCCATCTGCATTGAGCGCCCCTGCTGGGTGCCCCTCCCCGCCTGCCGATGGGACCAGCTAAGATGCTGAGAAACTTCTTCTTTTCTATGCTGGTCGGATCCAGAGCGTCGCTCATCACGCCGCCTGGAGGACACCTCTACATCTGCAGGCGTCTGTTGACGGGCAGGCTGATCCATGTTTCCTCCCTACACCATCTGCTGGAAACCTTGAGCCAAGGCCCCCTGAACTCGGGTCGCCTCCTATAGGGCTTCCACCCCGGCGTTGAGTCGAGTCGGGTCCATGCGCGGAGCATGACGTCGGCCTCCTCCCCGCCGGCTACGGACCGAGCGCTCACCCTGGGTGTGGTTGAGCGTCGCCCTCAGGTCACCGTGGCCTGACAACCGGTTCCGAAGGTCCCCTTGGCATGCCGCCCCCTGCCTTGTGCGTGGTTGTCGGGGGCACGCTGGCGGCTAGGCCGAGTTGATTCCTCGATGTGGACTGAGATATGGTCACGTCGGGATGCAATTCTGGCCATCTTCCTTTGTGATTCCTACTCGAGTGATGTGAGAGACATTATCAGTTCTCAATGAAGGCACCAATGTTGATCCAAAAATGGACACTCGTAGGCTTTTAGGAAAGCTACGTACGACACTCAAACAGGAAATCAAGAAAATAATGCAAATAAGGAAAGAAGCTAAAAGTGTTGAGTTGCCAGAAATAGCATATCTGTATTTGAAATAAAGGAAGGCAGGCCGCTAGCCGGGCTGGAAGGTAGGCTCCTGGCCGGGCTGGAAGGCAGGTTCCCCACTGGGCTTGATGGCAGGCTCCCTGCTGGATTGTTGGCCGGGCTGGAGGCAGGCTGTTGGCCCGGCTGGAAGGCAGGCCATCTTAGGCTTCTGCTCCTTGATGGGCTTGATCAGATGGGCCAACTCGAGCTCTGGGTTGCTGGGCTTGGGCCTGCTGGTCCAAGTTCGGGGCCTGGACCGATTAGGCTCTGGGCCTAGTCCCATAACTCCATCATTATTATTAAAACTGTACTTCTAATTTGCCATAATGCGATATAATAATATTACTAAGGAAAAAATTTGGAGACCGTAAAAATGGTGAACCCGATTCTAGGAATATGATAAACTTGCTAAAAGACGGCTTCGGCTCTTCCGTGTGAAGGTGCATTTGTTGTGTATTTAGGCTATGTTTGGCGGGCATAAGTTCCTGTCTTCTAGCTTTTGTACTTTTTAAAAAGTCTTTAAAACTTCTAGTTGTATGTTAGGCACGCCAATTTTTAAGAGCTTTTATAAAAATAAAATATCTTTTTTGTATATTTTTAAGAAGCTTCTAGTATCTTTAAAAGCTTCTAGTTGTATGTTAGGCACTGTAGCATCTCAGATAAGTCCATAGCTTCTAGCGTTAATTAGTCCTAACAGCTTGTATACCAAACAGAGCTAAATCAAACAGTCACTTTTTACCAAACAGCTACTGCATTTTCTTTTTACCATCTTTTCAGTCTCTAAAAGCTAACAGTTACTAAAAAGCTCATAAAATTATCTTTTCAGCTAGTTGTGCCAAACATACCTTTAGGTTGTTCAAAACAATTTATCAAAATGTTTCTGCTAGTGGAACATAACCATGCATGGGAAACCCCGATGGGCGCAAATTTATGTTTCCAGTAAAAAGATCTAGCAATGAGAATGATGAACATTTTTATTTATGAAGTTATATTTGATTTGAAGTTTTATCTTAAAAGTTCAACCCAGTGGCGGATTTTGGGTGTTCAATTTGTTTTCACAGTTAAGAATTTAAAGAACGATAAATAATTACACTAAATTTACCTACATGTACTTGCCATTTTTCAAATTTTTGGGTGTTCATGTGAACACTTTTGAACAATGGTGGCTCCGCCCCTGGTTCAACCTGATAGAAATAATAGCTAATATCTGAATATAACACTTTATTACTTCACGCTTTTTCGATGTGCGTCTTCAACATGCACATTTCCAGTTGAAAATGGATTCAATGCACGTTTTACAATGACAGAAAAGGTTGACTTTATTTACAACTCCCACACATTTTCACTTTTCTCATCCATGGTCGTTGCATTGCAGTGTCAAATAATGCATATATAGCTCTCAAATGCTACAATCCAGATTCCTTCTCATTTATTTCCTAAATTGTCTTTTTTACTTGATTATATATATATATATATATATATATATATTAAAACTATTTATGACTAAAATTAAAATATTTTACAAAATGTGACTAGAGACTAGAGTAATAATAAGAGACCATAGTAACTTAAGTTTTTTTTAATTTGAATTACCATGAACTAAATTGTTGTAACTATTAGGCATTTTTGTATAACTAAGTTTTATCATAAAAGAATTGTGTGTGTGTAGGGTAGGGGTATAACTAAATTTTTGTATAACTATTAGACAATTTTCTAATCCAACGTTGAGATTCATTCTAATTTACAAAAGTTTATCGTACTCCGTATAATTTATCATAAAAGAATTGTGTGTGTGTGTACGCATTCCATATATGCGACAGTGCAAGTGAATATAATACTCCACAAGAGATATCAGAATAAAATCTAATTGTCTAATTTACTTAATCAATTGTAAAGCCTTAATATAAATGAGTGACGGCAGCAATATGGTGATTACATGGAATATTGATGAAAATGACTAATGATAGAAGTAATGAATTTAATATGAGGTGCAAAGATGTAATGTGGTTGTAATGAAAGTAGTGTAAAATCATATATCATCTCTTAACAATCGGATCAGAAACATTGTAATGAGACGGGAAACAACATAATAAAATCTGGAAAACAAAAAGTACTATTATTCAAATAAAAGATACAGAAGCATTGGTACGCACTACAAGTAGTGGTTCATCCATAACATAGCACTACTGTCGTATATAATGAACCAATTGATATATATATATATATATATATATATATATATATATATATATATATATATATATATATATATATATATATATATATATATATATATATATATATATAATTAGTTTGGTTCTAATTAAGAGAAGTTTCTATGACTTTAAAACAAAAGTACATTGAGAAATTAATTAAAACATAATACTACCTCCCTCATGGCCTCACCCCACCATAGATTAGGTATTGTTAGTTTCTTATTCAAACATGTTAAACTTTGACCAATATACATAATAATACTATTACTTTTACCATCCAATATACGCCGTATATTTTTATTAATTAATATTCCGTATATATTTTCTGAAAATTCTCATATCAATTTCATACTTGGTACTAGTATTATAAATAATTTTTAGGGAGTATTTTTTTATCATTAGTCAAAGATTAACACATTTGAATAAGAAAGTCAAACATGAGTATCTAGTTTAGTATGTTGGGAATGGGAGGTGGTAAAACATTTGGAATATTTGGAATGCTTTGAGTGTTGGGCAAAGGGATTACTGAAGGGGGGACTAAAGGCAAAGTTGGCAATATGGATGCTGGCGGTGGCGGTGACGGAGGCGATAAGGCTGCTCCTAACAATGTTGTATTGTGTGGCAATGGCGGGAAAGCAAGCGGATCCGTTGACAACGGCGGCGGTGACGACAGCACAGGTTGATCTCCTGACGGAATATTGGGGATAATGTGGCTGCCGCTGGCGGGAAGAATGGCGGATAGCAGCGATTCGCCGGGTACCTGCAGCAGCGCGCGAATGGCTCCACTCATTTGTATGTTGGAGAATGACAACAATGTGATGATTAGTAAGCACTGCAAAGGCTTGAAAACAGCAGCCATTTGGATTGATCCAATTGATTAGTTATATATATAGCTTTGATCTACTATACAACAGATTTATGATGATTTCTTATTTTGATAGACAATGGCTTCTATATATACACACTGGTGACTACACTACTTCAGTACATGAAATTGAATGCATAAATACTATCTTAATTAGGGAATTGAAGTCCTCATGAGATATTAATGGCTGGCCAGAATATAATGAAGCTAATAAGAAATTTGAGAACATTGGAGGATTTGCATTTTTCAAATCATTTATGTGTACTTGGTATTTTTTGTTATTAGGTCAATCTTTTAAATTTATTATTCCGAATGTTTAGCTTAGTGTCCTACATATGTAAACACACACGCTTCAATACTACTTCCTCTTAAGCTATTTATAAAACTTTGGATTACCCCTCCTATTAGGTTGACCTCGAGGAAGGAGCTTCACGTCACATTAAACATTTAAACTTATTGTCATTCAAAAATGTAGGTTAGCTAGGGTTCATGGAGTGAAACTGAAAGAATAAAAGCAACCTAAAATATGTATGCCTATAGCTAGCTATATATCCAAATAAATATCAGGGTACTAATTTTAAGATGTTTGTATCAATTACCATGGTGACATTATATAGTGTTTAAGGATGATTAAATATACGACATACTGATTATATTTAGCATATAGTTTAATTTTCAAGCGTCTGGATTTCCTACTACCCTTGAAAAATTCAATCCACACATTCTTTTAAGTCTTGAAAGTCAAACCATTTTGATCCAATATAAAAACAATAATGAATGGAAGTATATTGAAATTTAACTATTCCTAGACCTTAAAAAGTCATTTTAAGATTTTGTATAGACTTTTTTTTGTCAAATTCGTACATACTTCATATCCATCTTTGAAAAACCAGACTTTGTAGTAATTATTCACTAAACATATGTATAATTGGTTAATCCATTTGAATATATAAATATTGATCATAAAATGTCCATAAAAAATAAATACTTTATTAAACAATTGCAATTTAAGTCAACAAATTTTGAATATTCCTTCCAATATACTACGTACTTAACATTTTTAATTGGGCTCAAGTTTTTTGGTCTGGTATACATTTGATCTATATGTATTTTACAACTGTTGAACTCTTGTCTGGTTTGGTAGATCTTTTGTCTATGTATTTTACAACTTAATTCATCAACATGAAAGTTTATTGAAGAGAAACGATATCACTCCAAGATACGATACTATAGAAACTCATGTTTACTGAATTACTAGTAAAAAAATATGCACATTATTTCTAAGGTCACTCAATAAAATTTACAAACTTACAAACAAAATTTTGTTTTTTCATCAATTTGACCATCTATAGTCTTTTGTATATACTAAAACATTACCTGTATTCATAATAATCTTAGATGTGATGGAAACAACTTTTTAGAATCACACTATTTTGCCTCACATATATGGTAGAAAACAAAAGCTTCTTTACTTTAAAGTTGAGGCATGGTGGAAAAGGTGAAAACAAACTCACCATTAGGATATGGTGGTGCGATGACAAATTGGTGAGACTATATGGATACTGATGAACGAGGCTTAATTACACTGATGGAGAAAGTAAATATATTGAATTGGGTTACAATTATTCACAGCCTAAAGTATATGAGGGAGTTAAGATCATATCAGAAAGATTCAGATCAGATCAGATCAGAAAGATTCAGATCAGATCAGATCAGAAACATTCAGATCAGATTAGAAGCATTCAGATCAGATCAGAAACATTCAGATCAGATCAGAAACATTCAGATCAGAAACATTCATAGCAAATTGGAAACATTCTATTATTATCGATTATATTATTATCGATTATATTATTATTATTATTATTATTATTATTATTAGTATTATTATTATTATTATTATTATTATTATTATTATTATTATTACTATTATTACTATTATTATTTATTTATTTATTATTATTATTATTACTATTATTATTTTATTATTATTATTATTAATTTATTATAATTATTATTGATATTATTATTTATTGTTATTATTATTATTATTATTATTATTGATATTATTATTAGAATTATTATTATTAGTATTAATATTAGTATATACTGGTTTAGAAAGTTAAGATCAGATCAGAAGGATTCAGATCAGATCAGATCAGATCTTAAAAAATTAAGATCAGAAACATTCAGATCAGACGAAGAGAACAACTTGTAAGTCTATATACTCTTTTAGTGCATTATTTATTGAGTTCATGAGTTGTGATTGTGTTTGTATTTTCTTAGAATTTTGTAATTGTATTTCATTATTAATTGAAACTTTCGGTAGATAATAAAATGTGGTGTGTATTCATTATAAATATATAATGATTAAAAATAAAATTAAAGATTAGAGAATCTTTTATTTACTATACAATTGATTTAGAGAATGATTTATTTATTGTGTGGACTGTGGACATGTAAGAAAGAATTAAAAGTTTCAATTGAATTTTAAAATTGGGAGTACATATTAAGTCTATTGTATTTAAAATTGATCTGATTTGATGTAGTTTCTTTTAATCTGGTCTGATCTAGCTTATAATTGAAAACATTCAAATTAAAATATTGTAAACGTTCTAATTTTTTTGTGTTAACTCAAATCCCGTCAATTATGTAACAATATTATTATATTATTATCATTACTATTATTATTATTATTACTATTATTATATTGAATAGAAAATATTCAAATTACTTTTTAATATATTACTATTTACTACTACTATTAATATTACTAATTGCTAATTATTAATGTGCTCTTCTTTTCCAAGATGACTAGTATAGTACACGTGCATACGCACGGGAAAGAGCAGTTGGTGCATATATTTGTACTCATGATCTAATTACAAATTAATATATAAATATTTCTCACTTAATAATTAGCAAGATTATCTTCTTATATCTAAAAGCACCACATATGAGAGAGAACTCTCCCGCTCAATTGTTAGCTCACATATCTACTTATACCTAAAAGCAGTACATATGGGAGAGAAAATTCTATTGCTCAATTGTTAGTTGGAGTGTTATACTTAAAAGAACTACATATGAGAAAGAAAGTTTGTCCGCTCAATTGTTAGCAAGCTTATCTTCTTATCTTCATATATCTAAAATCACTACATATGAGAGACAAAATTATCTTGTTCAACTTCCTCGCTCAATTGTTAGCAAACTTATATTGTAATATGTAGAAGCACTACATATGAGAGAGGAAATTCTCCCGCTCAATCATTTGGAAGCTTATTTTCTGTTACTCAGAACCACTACATATGAGAGATAAAGTTCTCACGCTCAATTGTTAGTCAGCTTATCTTATACTTAAAAGCACTACATCTTATACTTAAAAGCACTACATTTGAGAAAGAGAGATTTTTCCCGCTCAATTATTAACAAATTTATCTTCTAATCTTATACTTAATAGCACTACATATGAGTGAGTGAGAGAGAGAGTTTTCCCGCACAATTATTAGCAAAATTATCTTCTAATAATAATTAAAAGCATTACATATGAGAGAGAAAATTTTCCCACTCAATTTGTCTACTCAAATGTCACCAAACTTATCTTCTCATATATTGAAGCACTACATGTGAGAGAGAAAATTATTCCGCTCAATTATTAGCAAGCTTATTTTCTTATACATAAAATCACTACATATGAGAGGCAAAATTCTTCTGCTTAATTGTTAGCCGGCTTATCTTATCCTTAAAAGAACTACATATGAGAGTTTTCCCGTCCAATACCTAAAAGCACTACATATCTTATACTTAAAAGCACTACATATGAGAGAGAGAGAGATTTCCCCCCCTCAATTATTAGCAAAATTATCTTCTAATAATAACTAAAAGCATTACATATGAGAGAGAAAATTTTCCCGCTCAATTTGTCTGCTCAATTGTTAGCAAACTTATCTTCTGATACATTGAAGCACTACATGTGAGAGAGAAAATTCTCCCCGCTCAATTGTTAGCTAGCTTACCTTGTATCTAAAAGTACTACGTATGAGAGAGAAAAGTTCTTCCACTCAATTGTTAGCCAGCTTATCTTATACTTAAAAAAACTATATATGAGAGAAACAATAATAATGTGAACTTTTATTCGCAAGTTTATTTTCATTTTTCTAAATTCAGTTCAATTTGGCTTCTTATTCCCGTTGGTAATCTTCTACAGTGCTTCTTAAAAGCACTACATATGAGAGAGAGAGATTTCCCCCCCTCAATTATTAGTAAATTTATCTTCTAATCTTATACTTAACAGCACTACATATGAGTGAGTGAGAGAGAGAGAGAGAGTTTTCCCGCACAATTATTAGCAAAATTATCTTCTAATCTTATACTTAAAAGCACTACATTTGAGAGAGAGAGATTTTTCCCGCTCAATTATTAACAAATTTATCTTCTAATCTTATACTTAATAGCACTACATATGAGTGAGTGAGAGAGAGAGTTTTCCCGCACAATTATTAGCAAAATTATCTTCTAATAATAATTAAAAGCATTACATATGAGAGAGAAAATTTTCCCACTCAATTTGTCTACTCAATTGTCACCAAACTTATCTTCTCATACATTGAAGCACTACATGTGAGAGAGAATATTATTCCGCTCAATTATTAGCAAGCTTATTTTCTTATACATAAAATCACTACATATGAGAGGCAAAATTCTTCTGCTTAATTGTTAGCCGGCTTATCTTATCCTTAAAAGAACTACATATGAGAGTTTTCCCGTCCAATACCTAAAAGCACTGCATATCTTATACTTAAAAGCACTACATATGAGAGAGAGAGATTTCCCCCCCTCAATTATTAGCAAATTTATCTTCTAATCTTATACTTAACAACACTACATATGAGTGAGAGAGAGAGAGAGAGAATTTTCCCGCACAATTATTAGCAAAATTATCTTCTAATAATAACTAAAAGCATTACATATGAGAGAGAAAATTTTCCCGCTCAATTTGTCTGCTCAATTGTTAGCAAACTTATCTTCTGATACATTGAAGCACTACATGTGAGAGAGAAAATTCTCCCCGCTCAATTGTTAGCTAGCTTACCTTGTATCTAAAAGTACTACGTATGAGAGAGAAAAGTTCTTCCACTCAATTGTTAGCCAGCTTATCTTATACTTAAAAAAACTATATATGAGAGAAACAATAATAATGTGAACTTTTATTCGCAAGTTTATTTTCATTTTTCTAAATTCAGTTCGATTTGGCTTCTTATTCCCGTTGGTAATCTTCTACAGTGCTTCTTAAAAGCACTACATATGAGAGAGAGAGATTTTCCCCCCTCAATTATTAGCAAATTTATCTTCTAATCTTATACTTAACAGCACTACATATGAGTGAGTGAGAGAGAGAGAGAGAGTTTTCCCGCACAATTATTAGCAAAATTATCTTCTAATCTTATACTTAAAAGCACTACATTTGACAGAGAGAGATTTTTCCCGCTCAATTATTAACAAATTTATCTTCTAATCTTATACTTAATAGCACTACATATGAGTGAGTGAGAGAGAGAGTTTTCCCGCACAATTATTAGCAAAATTATCTTCTAATAATAATTAAAAGCATTACATATGAGAGAGAAAATTTTCCCACTCAATTTGTCTGCTCAATTGTCACCAAACTTATCTTCTCATACATTGAAGCACTACATGTGAGAGAGAAAATTATTCCGCTCAATTATTAGCAAGCTTATTTTCTTATACATAAAATCACTACATATGAGAGGCAAAATTCTTCTGCTTAATTGTTAGCCGGCTTATCTTATCCTTAAAAGAACTACATATGAGAGTTTTCCCGTCCAATACCTAAAAGCACTACATATCTTATACTTAAAAGCACTACATATGAGAGAGAGAGATTCCCCCCCCCTCAATTATTAGCAAATTTATCTTCTAATCTTATACTTAACAGCACTACATATGAGTGAGAGAGAGAGAGAGAGAGAATTTTCCCGCACAATTATTAGCAAAATTATCTTCTAATAATAACTAAAAGCATTACATATGAGAGAGAAAATTTTCCCGCTCAATTTGTCTGCTCAATTGTTAGCAAACTTATCTTCTGATACATTGAAGCACTACATGTGAGAGAGAAAATTCTCCCCGCTCAATTGTTAGCTAGCTTACCTTGTATCTAAAAGTACTACGTATGAGAGAGAAAAGTTCTTCCACTCAATTGTTAGCCAGCTTATCTTATACTTAAAAAAACTATATATGAGAGAAACAATAATAATGTGAACTTTTATTCGCAAGTTTATTTTCATTTTTCTAAATTCAGTTCGATTTGGCTTCTTATTCCCGTTGGTAATCTTCTACAGTGCTTCTTAAAAGCACTACATATGAGAGAGAGAGATTTCCCCCCCTCAATTATTAGCAAATTTATCTTCTAATCTTATACTTAATAGCACTACATATGAGTGAGTGAGAGAGAGAGAGAGAGTTTTCCCGCACAATTATTAGCAAAATTATCTTCTAATAATAACTAAAAGCATTACATATGAGAGAAAAAAATTTCCCGCTCAATTTGTCTGCTCAATTGTTAGCAAACTTATCTTCTGATACATTGAAGCACTACATGTGAGAGAGAAAATTCTCCCCGCTCAATTGTTAGCTAGCTTACCTTGTATCTAAAAGTACTACGTATGAGAGAGAAAAGTTCTTCCACTCAATTGTTAGCCAGTTTATCTTATACTTAAAAAAACTATATATGAGAGAAACAATAATAATGTGAACTTTTATTCGCAAGTTTATTTTCATTTTTCTAAATTCAGTTCGATTTGGCTTCTTATTCCCGTTGGTAATCTTCTACAGTGCTTCTTAAAAGCACTACATATGAGAGAGAGAGATTTCCCCCCCTCAATTATTAGCAAATTTATCTTCTAATCTTATACTTAACAACACTACATATGAGTGAGAGAGAGAGAGAGAGAGTTTTCCCGCACAATTATTAGCAAAATTATCTTCTAATAATAACTAAAAGCATTACATTTGAGAGAGAAAATTTTCCCGCTCAATTTATCTGCTCAATTGTTAGCAAACTTATCTTCTGATACATTGAAGCACTACATGTGAGAGAGAAAATTCTCCCCGCTCAATTGTTAGCTAGCTTACCTTGTATCTAAAAGAACTACGTATGAGAGAGAAAAGTTCTTCCACGCAATTGTTAGCCAGCTTATCTTATACTTAAAAAAAATATATATGAGAGAAACAATAATAATGTGAACTTTTATTCGCAAGTTTATTTTCATTTTTCTAAATTCAGTTCGATTTGGCTTCTTATTCCTGTTGGTAATCTTCTACAGTGCTTCTTAAAAGCACTACATATGAGAGATAGAGATTTCCCCCCCTCAATTATTAGCAAATTTATCTTCTAATCTTATACTTAACATCACTACATATGAGTGAGAGAGAGAGAGAGAGTTTTCCCGCACAATTATTAGCAAAATTATCTTCTAATAATAACTAAAAGCATTACATATAAGAGAGAAAATTTTCCCGCTCAATTTGTCTGCTCAATTGTTAGCAAACTTATCTTCTGATACATTGAAACACTACATGTGAGAGAGAAAATTCTCCCCGCTCAATTGTTAGCTAGCTTACCTTGTATCTAAAAGTACTACCTATGAGAGAGAAAAGTTCTTCCACTCAATTGTTAGCCAGCTTATCTTATACTTAAAAAAACTATATATGAGAGAAACAATAATAATGTGAACTTTTATTCGCAAGTTTATTTTCATTTTTCTAAATTGAGTTCGATTTGGCTTCTTATTCCCGTTGGTAATCTTCTACAGTGCTTCTTAAAAGCACTACATATGAGAGAGAGAGATTTCCCCCCCTCAATTATTAGCAAATTTATCTTCTAATCTTATACTTAACAGCACTACATATGAGTGTGAGAGAGAGAGAGAGTTTTCCCGCACAATTATTAGCAAAATTATCATCTTCCAGACGCTAGATTAGGAATCTTCTGAAACTCTTTCAATTCGTAAGTTTATCTCGTCGTTTGTATGTACAAAATTGAAAGTTTGCAATAATAACTAAAATCGAATATATTTATATTTTCTATGAAATGTGATTTGTTAAGGATTCTCATTTATTTCAAAAAAAATGAATTCTCATTCTCTTTAATATTGAGGGTGATTTGGTTCATCGGAAATAATAATACCCCCTCTGTCCCATAAAAATCTTTTCGATTTGACTTGGATCGGAGTTTAAGAAAGTGCGAATAAAGTGAAAATGTGAGATTGTGATTCAGTTAGAAAAAGGTAAATGAATCTTAGCCACACAAAACTCTCCAAAAGGGGAAATGAGGAGAATTTTTTGGGATATTCCAAAATGGTAAGTGGAAAGAATTTTATGAGACATGGGGTATTTCCTAATATGATGAGATTCATGTGTGGAATTTGTTGTCCTACAGATTGAATTGCACATCTCATGAGTTAGCTAACCTCCTTTGCTATTTCTAATGGTTAAGATGCACAATATACATCACAATGTACATATTAAAATTCATAGTTTTTTATGATCTTTCATAAAACAGATATTGCATATACAACAATATAACTAAATTGGATATGAGTATCCTTCTATAGTCACTTTGATATAATTTGAAACACAATTATATTAAAAAAAATAATAAGTCATATTTATATCTATTATCCTTATTTTAGTTATATATTAGAATTTATGTATTCATTTAATACGGAATAATTGATATTGTGGTTGGAAAATATGAAGATTTGATAAACCTTCATATTTTTTAAAAATTTTATAAATACAATATTGGTGTATATAAATATAAATAATTTTAAGCATAATTATTGAGACCGTTAGTAAATTATATTTTTATATATTCAATATTGATTTCATATGAAAGATCACAAAAATTATGAATTTTAATATATTTTTTAGAAACATTGTAACAAAAATGAAAAAGTTATAACACTTTTAAGAAATTTGGGGTTTTTTACAACATGGACCCACCAACTCCATTTCCCTTCGTGTGAGAGCACATCAACTTAAATGGTATTTGGCACGGTTATTTCTTTTCTTATATATAAATAGAAATCTTAATTCGTATTAATATGAGCATTATCCAAAATACATGATAAGAAACCCGGAGGATTAGAAAACCAAACATGCAATTCAGACAAAGAACAAGCAACTTTAGCCAGAGCTTGAGCTGACTTGTTCGCTGAACGCTTAACATGACAAAAGAAATACGGGAAAAATGTGTCGCCACGGCCGAGCTGCTCCTGCAACAAACAGCCCCCTATCATCTCTTAGGCACCATCCCAGGCCACAGCCTAATTCCCGCACAGCTGCATCAATGTTTAATTTCATCCGCCCCCGAGGCCGGTCTACTCTAGCAAGCCGCAGTTTGCTTCCGTCCCACGAGCTCCATCTTCCGGCCAGTTTGGACTTGGATCCACCCTCCCACCATTGTAGCGGCTTTGCTCATGAAAGTGGGTGCGGATTGAGAGCTTCCCTGCCAAACACGTTGGTTTCTTTCACACCAAATAGCCCAACAGCCCCAAATTAATTTTTCCAACACCTCTTTTCCAATTAATAGCTCTCCACGCCTCTGTAGCAATTTCGCAGGAGATGAACAAATGGCTCAGAGATTCATCCGGTTTCCCACACAGTCCACACTCCCCAGAACAAGTCACTCTTCTTAATTGAAGATTGCCCTTGATCGGCAAGCAACCAGTGCAAAGTTGCCAAAAGAAGTTTTTTATTTAGGAGGAAGCTGCCAATCCCACATGACAGTCCAACCTAACCAGCCCTGTGGTGAACAATCATCAACCAACATTCTATAACAGCTCTTCACTGTGAAAAAAGATCATTACTCTCCCACCTCCAACAAAGTTTGTCCAGAATCTCCCTTAAACTAACTGGAATACTCCTGATAAGAGAGAGATCCCTGTCATTAAACAAGTCCGCCAGTACATCCTCATCCCATTCCCGGCCCGTGACAGCAAATATGTTAGCCACCGAAGCCTCCTGTAATCCACTAACTTCAGCCAACATAACCCTGAGGTTAGACGGGTCTGGTAACCATGGATCCTTCCATATACTAATAGAATTGCCATCTCCAACTCGCCAATAAAACTCATTACGAATAATATCCTGGGACTGGAAAATACTTCACCAAATAAAGGAAGGATTATGGCCAATAGAGGCATTTAAAAAAACTCCCTCTAGGAAAGTATCGAGCCTTAAAGACTTTCCCTGCAAAGGAATAATGTGCTCTTATTTTTTAATGAGTATTTAACATTAAATGTCTAATTGGAGGGAAAAGCAAAATGTTACACCTTGTTACTTTATACTCCCTCCGTCCCTAAATTATTTTCAAACTTTCCTTTTTCGTCCGTCCCAAAATTATCTCCTCTTCCCCCTTTTAGCAAAAAATTTGTGGTTCACAACCATTCTTACACATTCTTACACATTTCTCTCTCCTCTGCACAACTCTCCACCACACAAATCCCACTATCTTAATAAATGTGCCCAGCCGAAAAGGGAGAAAGATTAGGGACGGAGGGAGTAGTATTATTATTATATAGTATTATAGATATAGATTATAGACATGTGGAACAGGTGGATCCGCCCTCCGCCCTCTTAAACCAATCCATATAAACCAGTTATAGGCTTGCAACTACAATTTTATTAAAATGTCTAACTCGACTTGATCCCTTAAAACTTCGTCATATTTCCTTTTTAGCACGTTTCAAAAAACTTTTTCATTTTCTCTTTTAATCAATTATTTTTTGATTTAATTTATTTATCTCTCCTATACATGAACCTTAATTTATTTAAAACTTGACAAAGTTTCCAAGTGGAGTAACTTTTTATATCTGAATGCAGCCCGGCCCTCTGCATAGTTGCATACTCATTACTTTTGGACAGTGGGCTGTTCAAGTGGTTACTCCTACAAATCCTGCAATTCTTTCAACTCTCCAGTCACAAAATGGCAGGAAAGTCGCAGAAGATAGTGACTCATCCTCTCAACATCGAGTCTACAAAACTGCGTCATTCTAAGCTCTTTTCTAAGTTCGTTTGGCGCTCTTTTCTCATCTTCAATCTAGCTCTTGGAGGTAACTTCTTTTTCCTATCTTGCACACCAACAATCTTCTTTCTTGTCTGCTAATCTTGGGATATTCTCATATTCATACTATGCGTTTGCTCCGCAATTTCTTATCTTCTTGGGATTTTAGTTTTTCTTACGTTATGCTGAATTTTCTATGTACATTTGCAAAGTTCAGGTTTCCGTTCTTGATTTCAGATTCTCTTATTTGGAGCACGTGCTCTGTATCACGTATCTTCTACGACTTTATTTAGATGTTTTGTATATATATTAGGTGTATGTTATGATAGTAGTGCTAGGATTGTAAAGCTTTTTTTTTGCGCATGAACTGTTTGTTCTAATGACAAAGGGAAACATTCCTTTCTCTAGTGAGCCTTGTGGAGATTCTGGAGAACTCGTTCTATTTCCTTTTCAGGAAGCAACTCACTCTGATATTGGTTGCAAGTTGTTGTGATCACTCTTGAGGTTTTATATTGTCAATGACCATGATATTGATACCATGATCCATATTTGAATAAATTATGAACTGAAAACTTTTCTTTATAAAAAAACTTGTTGGATTGCATAATCCAATATGATTTTGCAAAATGACTGTCTACCATGCACATCTAATTACTCTTGGCGATAACACATATGAGTTTGAGCAACAATTAGAGGCTCACGGAATTAGGCAAAGTACATAAGGGTGAAGAGATTGCATGCGTTGTGGGATTTGCAAGGTGTATATTTCTACTGCTCATGTTGGGGGGGAGCTTGAGTGCTTCAGTATTTTGAAAGGCTAACCGAGTTGCGTGCAACAGGAAAATTGGTGGGTGCAGTAAGTGGCGGAGCCAAAAAATCGTGTGAGGGGATCAAAACTTAGCCATGTCAAAAGGTCGATTTGTTATGAGAATTGAGACGTTTCTTGAGTTGAATAAGTCATACTCCCTCTGTCCCATTTTGGGTTGTTCCAAAATAAGTGTCACATTTCGTTTTTTTGGAAAGAAATATGTGGCCTACAACATTTCACTTTATTATACTCAAATTTCAATCATAACTTTTACTTTTTCAATTACTTTATTTATAATTGTGTCAAACCAAAGTAGGACACAGAAAATGGGACGGAGGTAGTATATAGGTGAGATAAACGTTATTTAAATGAGACCTAGAGAATTATTGATTTGATATGTATGAAATATATTATAAACTTCACGTAGCTAATGAGTGACTTGGATGTTGTAGATGTTATTTTTAAAATTTGGGAATATAACTAATATGACACATGAAGTTTTTACTCATTTCAATTTTAGATGGTGCTGATTTTTCAGGAGTCGTAATGAGTTACACAAGGCATAATATATTAAATTAAAGGTGTTTCAGCTCTCTACATGCTCAAACTTTCAGAAGTCGGCTGACCCCCCTTGGCTTGCCCCTGGGTGCAGTGCTATGAAATGTAGTACATATCCACAGACCTGCTACACATCGAATGTGCAAATTTGCAAATATTTCTTCATTCGGAATTGTGAAAGCATGTGTTAGGTGATTTAACCCAATTGAGTGACCCACAACCGCTTGCAGAAGCGATGCTTCTTACTAAAGCTTTGGTCAACATCAAGTGAACCAAACACTTAATTTTCAACCAAAACAACCTCATATAGTGTTCTAATTTCTCATCGCACATGAAATCTCAAAGAATAAAGTAACAACAGAAATTTCACATCTTTATCACAACTCGACAAATAACCATTGCAACTCTTATTTGATGATGACTTTATGCGGTGATATTTTGAGTGACTAAGTGACTAATGACTAATGGCTATGCCTTTAATCTTGCAGTACATATAATTAATTTTTTTATCAGTAAATATTTGTTTTCTATGCCAAAGCATCAGTTCGCTTTGTGTTCATTTCTCCTTTACACAAGTTTGATTCTATTTCGGCCCATTGGCTAAGTTTCATTCATCGAACACGTAAATTTATGTTTTCTCTAGTTATTATGCTTCCTCTTCGGATTACTACGCTTATTAAAGATTTATTTATTTTTAGTAAGGTTATGAACAAACTTCTGTCTGAACAATTTGGTCTTGATCACCAAGATGAACAAAATATTCCACAGGTTTGTCGCAAGAGGGTAGAGCATATATCACTGCTGTTCATTTAATATCTGTTTATGCCACATTATTTTTAAAGATGGTGACCTTTATTATTAGAATATATTACAGGAATATATTTTTAAAGATGGTGAGCTTTATTTTTAGAATATATTACAGGAATATTACTTGAAGCTCTGCGGTATCTTGAATTTTTGTTGCTTGAAGATTTACAAAATAGTGTATTCATAGGTTGTAGTTGGTTTTAAAGATCGAGTAGTTTATTCATAGGTTGTAATTGTTCTGAAAGACCATATGGTACAGCTCAATATGTGTCGATCACTTGTTTTTAAAGACCGAGCAGTTTTGGTCGCTTGGTTATGCAAGTACATCTAGTTCACTACATTTTTTCAGGGGGGTCACCTGTTAGACTTGTGTGAGGTCTTCTTTGCAATCCTGGTTTAGTTTTCAAAAGGTTTTATATCACTAATTAAACTTTACTTCAACTTTCCTGCAGCATTCTTATTTAGCAGACCTGTGAAGAGAGAAGCATCAAGTAAAGGAATAAAACCCACCAGTAAAGACACCACCATATCCACTGAAGAACTTTTCTTCTTCCGTCCCGAGCCTGAGATAGTGCAGGAGCCCGTAACCAAAGAGCAGAAATGAAATCTTGTGATGGATATCGGAAGGGAAGAGAATTAGAGAAAGATGAGACCTTCCCAAAATTCAAACATTTTACTTCTTTTTGAAGCTATTGCTTTTCAAATTAGAGCTGACACCTAATTTAGCATTTTAATTGCATTTTTGTTTGAGAGAGATACCAAAAGAAAGCGACTAAGAGAGGAAGCATAAACCAGGTGAAGGGTGGAAAGAGAAAAAAACTGGAGACTTTTCACTATCTTTCCATCCTCTCCATTGTTTCCTTGACTGTAGATTAAATAGTTTCTACTAATACATTCCCATTCTATGATCTGAAATGTGAGAGCAAAGCTTAATTTTCTGGGTCTGCATTGTATTCTGGACCTCTGGTATATTCAACATGGTTGAGTGTAATCCTCTTGCTACTTTTCTAATACAAGGGAAGTCACGCATCCGAAGCTAATTTGTTTAATCACTTGTTCAGTTATGTTTGCTGCACTATGTGAATAAATGTTCTATTTCTTTTTTTGGCAAATAATATGTGGTTCGTATAATTTCAATTTATTCTATAAAAATTTCAATCACGATTTTTACTTTTCATCCATTTCATTAATAATTGTGCCAAATCAAAACAAGTGAATTGCGACTGAGGAAGTAGTATTTGACGTGATAATGCGATATGATGTGATGTCATATGCTTGGACCATATATTACAGTTCTTTGGTCATGCCTTTCGTCTTTAGCCTCTTTGTATATCGATCATTATAAATATTTTAATCATAGGTAAAAGACATGTAAATGGTTATTTTCAAACATGTTTTGAGTGCGGCTACTTCTGAATAGCTCATATCTTGCGTTTTACTCCATCTTGACCAACAAACAGAACCCCACCACTTGCCTACCGTATGTTCTGCCATCAAAATCCCAACAGACGCCAACTTCCCAAACACACAGAATAACTGAACAAGGGAGTGAAGGAGATAATAATGATATTCAATTTAAGATATTTTTACTTTAATTACAAAAAACCCAAAGAAAAAGTTACAAAATTTTGCTTTCCAGAGTCTCCCAAGCTTGGGTAACTGAAACTCTTGAATATTGTGTCTTCATTAGTTGATGTGCCCCTATTGGAGCAAACAGAACTCTTATTTCAACACACATTGAGGATATTGAAACCAGGGATATTTACACAATGAATTCAGACTCACTTTCCTTGATATCACCAAACAATGAGTCCATTACTATTCACACTAATGAGGAGGAAGAAGAAGAAACCCCAGAGTCAACCATAGCTTTGCTTTCTTTCAACACTGATTCTGCTCCAGTCAATCCTTCAAACCCTACCACTACTCCCTTGATTCTCACTTCTCTGCTTTTCACCGTCTCCTTGGCTATCTTGGCAGCCATCCTTTTCGCCTCTCTGTACTTCTCATCAGATTCTTCCCAGGTTTCAAGATCACTCAAGAAGCTCAAACAGCCTGTTGTTCTTTTGATTTCTTCTGATGGATTTAGGTTCGGTTTTCAATATAAAGTCAACACTCCAAATATTGACAGGTTAATCAAGAATGGGACAGAAGCTGACTTGGGTCTAATTCCTGTCTTCCCATCTCTCACATTCCCCAATCATTACTCGATTGTCACTGGTATGTACCCTGCTTACCATGGGATTGTGAACAATTTCTTCATTGAACCAAACAGTGGTGATTACTTCACAATGCAAAACCATGACCCTAAGTGGTGGCTAGCTGAACCTCTTTGGGAAACTGTGGTGAAGCATGGTTTGCACGCTGCAACTTACTTCTGGCCTGGTTCAGAAGTCAAAAAAGGTCCTTGGACATGCCCAGACTTTTACTGTAAAAGGTATAATAGTTCTGTGGGGTTTCAGGATAGAGTTGATGCTGTTTTAAATTACTTTGATTTGCCAAGTGTTGAAATCCCTTCTTTTATGACATTGTACTTTGAGGACCCTGATCATCAGGGTCACAAGTTTGGGCCTGATGCCCCTCAGATCACTGAGGCTGTCACTAGAATTGATAGGATGGTCGGGAGGTTGATTCAAGGCCTTGAAACAAGAGGAGTTTTCGAAGATGTGAACATCATCATGGTTGGTGATCATGGTATGGTTGGCACTTGTGATGAAAAGTTAATCTTTTTGGATGATTTGGGTCCATGGATCCAAATCTCAAAAGATTGGGTTCAATCCTATAGTCCACTTCTTGCAATTCAACCGCCGTCTAATTACTCAGCTAAGGAAGTTGTTGCCAAGATGAATGAGGGGTTGCAGTCTGGGGAAGTTGGGAATGGTCAGTACCTAAAAGTTTATCTGAAGGAGGAGCTTCCTAGCAGGCTGCACTATTCGGGTAGCGACCGAATACCTCCGGTCATCGGATTGCCAGATGAGGCGTTTAAAGTTAAGCAAAAGAACACATATAGGAAAGAATGTGGTGGGTCACATGGATATGACAATGCTTTCTTCTCAATGAGGTCCATTTTTATCGGCCATGGTCCTCGCTTTGCAAGAGGCCACAAAGTTTCATCTTTTGAGAATGTTGAGATATACAACTTGGTTACTAAGATCCTCGGTTTAGAAGGTTCACCTAATAATGGCACAGCTTCTTTTCCAGACACAATTATTCTGCCCAGACACTGAAACAGCTTATTTTCTGGTATATGTTTCCATACATTGTTAGCTTATTTATTCTGTTGGTTTCTGCAGAGGTTAGAAATTTCAGCTTCTGCATATACATAAGGTTGTTACTTTGAAAATTATTGTTGTTGCCATGCAAGTCTAATTGCAATTCTTTCTATTCTTTGGATATTTCTCCTGAAAATTTCACTCAAAAAACATGTATATATGATCAAAATATCAAATATAACCAAATGCAGCCATCCTCAAACGGGTTGGGCATCTTTACCTCTTCCCAAGGAAAGACACCATGTCAGTGTCTTTGGACAAGCCCAGTTTTTCCCACTTTTAGTTTATTGACTATTATGGACATTACACTTTAGATACCTGCTTTGTGTCTTACTATTGCTATATGAAATATTTGGGTACATGTCTTTGATTTTTTGTTGTTTTACTCCAAATATTGTTACAGTGACACTTTTTTTCCTTCAACTATTGTTATAGTGAAACTTTTTTATCTTTCAACTATTGTCACATTGATAATTTTGATCCACTGAGGTGCCAACTACTTTGCTGTCCAATAGTTAGAGGACTAAAAATGGAAATGCAATGACGGTGCCAAAATGTCATTGAAATGATAACTAGAGGACTAAAATGAAAAAACGCCTATAGTTCTTCCTGACACCACACTTAAATTCCACCATCAATAAGATCATCCAGTTTTAGATCAAATGGATGTGACCAAAGACGAGCATAGTGCATGTTTTTGGAGGCATTCAGGAAGCAATATCCGTCATCAAATGGGTTGTTAGAAACCAAGGATAGATATGAAATTGCTTCTGGGGGAAAAGTTGCACCAAATGACACCCAATGCATTAGTTACTCCTTATATCCACCGAATAAACTAAGTAATCAAAGTGATAAGAGATAAGAAATGTGAAAAGAGTAGTAAGTGAAAGTGTGAAATTACCAAAGCTGGCTTTCCTTCAATGCCCACAACCCATTCCATTTATGTAGTACAAGGTTACACACAGAATATATATACAATGTACAAGGTTACAGAAAAAGAAAAATGCACCAAAAGTGAAGAAATGCTGCACCAAACCTGAGAGAAGTATACAGAGTATGATTTTTCGTTCTTTAAAAACTTCCATGAAAATGTGCATTGTGAATCCAATCATGCATTCATGCCCAACCATGCCTGTACCCGCGGAAAATGTCTTCAGTTTGGGCGTTCCTGCAAGCACTGCAGGCAATGATATAAACTGTAATCAGAACCACCACAGCAATGATCAAGATCTGATTGGATTTCCTCCACTCTCTTCTTAGGCTTCCCAGTAGACCAGCCTTGCAAGAGTTGCAGTCATAACACAGCTGGCTGGAGTCGTTATTCCATTCCGAGCAGTCTGGATCCGCTGCGACATTGGCTGGATTGCTCCACACTGTCGGGTTCACGTACTGGTACCCACAAATGCTTGGAGGCTTGCAACAGCCTGACTGCAGACAACAGAATCTTATGCTCAAAAATCACAATATTTCTCTCCAAGAAAGTAAATTGTTACAAATAATGACAATTATATGATTGAAATAATAGTAATAAGCATTTTTTTATAAGACTTCACAGCTGTGCTGGAATATTCTTCAAACTGTGACCATGGTAATGTTCAATTTTAATACTGATTAGATTATAAATGGTATTTTCATTGTGACATTCAGTAGTGATCCTGAAGTCATAATTTTGTGGGTAAGTTTTATTTAGAAATGCATTTCTCCACATTATATGCTCATCTAAAAATGCAGTGACAAGGTTTCACGAATTTTAACCTGCGTGAAACAACTCATGACGAGAAGATCATATATTTACCAACAACATCCAAGCCTTAGTCCCAAAAGATATTGGGGTCGGCTAACATGAATCGATACATGATATCACAACCAAAAGGAAAAGAAGGAATAAAGATAAAAAGATAAGCTATTATGAAAAGAAAATATAAAAAAAGATGAATATATATATACATGATAAAATAAAAAGGCTGCAAATAATGCTTATATATAAATAAGGATAAAAAAAAAACTAGGAAAAAAAAGATGAGGGAAAAAGATTATCAAGATCACTCCTTCACGTGAATACCCGCCCTCCACTTAGTTCCCTCCAAAGTCATGCCCTCATCCAACCCCAGAAGAAGCATATCATATATTTACCAAACAAACAAAATTTTGATTAGGCTTTCCCTTCTGATCTTTCACTAGAGGTTTTCACAACAAACCAGTACACCACACACTAATCACTGGACCCGCAACTGAAGTGCTGGTTGGTTCCTACATCAATAAAATTTTTGTTTTCTAAAATACTACCAGCCTCCCCTTATATTTGGGACGTGAGAGAGTTGCATGCTTATTAAAGAATGTAGAGTTATGTAGTTGATACAAAATTTGTATATATGAATGAATATGAACCACATAAATATTACCATATGAAGAAAACTTAGTGAGACCGGAAAAAAATGGGACAATGATAGTGGCATGGAGAGGATACCAATTATAAGGAATTTGAAAAAAACCAAGATAAATACTATAATACATATCATTTTGTGGTAACTTTATGCAATGCATGCAATATTTCAGGAATTGATCTTCTGTTTATCAAAGATTCAAACCTTACCTACGTAGTTCGAACTTCAAAAGTTCAAAGCGGATCTCAAAGAATGGGAACTTATAATACTCAAAAGCCCTTGAAGAATCACTTATATTGACACTTGACATTGCAATCTTAAAAAGTCAATCTTATATTCGGTTTGTATGTTTATATATTTATATATTTATTCGATATTGGGATGAATCACTCAACAGCACTAAAAGCGTGTTGCTATTTACACTCATCTTTAAGAAGAAATACACCTACTTTAGTATAACTCCCCAACCAATTTACAAAAACAGCTCCCCATTTATTTTATTGCTAAGATAGTTTCACCCAAGTCTGAGGCTTCAACTGATACAAAAAAAAAGGAATTGTAGTTTTTTAGTACAATGATTACATTATATGGCAGTGGTCAGTAGCTGCGACAAAAGTGGTTGGTGACCATAACAAGGCTGGCAAAGGTGGTAAGCTATAATGGTTAATGATGGTAAACGCCGGTGGTGATGATTGTTGATAATGGTTGTGATCATCGATTATGGCGATAACATTGGTCCCTGAAGATGATGGTAATTTTGACAGCAGACGATGGTGTTGTCATTGACAGTATTCATAGTAGATGCTACTAATAGCAGCGGTAATAGTTTGCAGGGACGACGGTTATTGATGATATTAAAAGTTACTGGTGCTGGTGTTGATACGAGTCAGTGAGTCACAAAGGTGAATGTGTGGAAAGATTCAGTGACAATGGGACAGGAGGGGGGTCATTGGTTGTGGTAACTGTCGCAGAGCGTGTGGTTGTTGCAGTTGCCATAGATTATTGCAACTTTAGAGAATTTGGTTTCTGTTTAGGAAAACATAGAAATACAATTTATAACTTTCTGAAAAGATTGAGACATTGTAGAAGATTTTTCTCTTTTCCAAATATGGAAAAGTTAAAATATAATGTAATTAATGTCCTTAACAATAAAAATGATATAAAATTACAAACATGTCACTTTAGATATCTCTTTTATTTTCGTTCTCACAAACACTCACAAATATGAGCAATCTCATGTATGGGAGTATTGGTGAAAGCAAAACCAAATAGATGACTAAGGTGTGTTTATAGCATTAGTTTGTGACAATCGGGTATGAACATTTGTTTCCATCAGGCAATCAGTCACTGAGCATTCAAGTCAACTCAAGAGTATCTTCTCTTGAGTCCATTACATTAGGCCAAATGAGGTCCAGTTTTTATCTTGCAATTTCTTTTCTTATGTAACTACTCCCTCCGTCCCGTTGGAATGTTCCCACTTTCCTTTTTTGGATGTCCAGTTGGAAAGTTCCCATTTCCCTAAATGGAAAGTTATCCTACATCAAAACAAGGTCAAACAGTGCAAAACATTGTCAAACAGTGTCGAAACAGTGTCAAACAGTGTCAAAACAGTAAAATTTACCCTCTGGTAAGTTTATTTCCTTAATATGTGTGTAGGTCAAACCGGGAACATTCCAACGGGACAGAGGGAGTATATGGTTTGTAGTTTATTTCAGATTCCAATTATAGTAATTTAGTCCAATTTTTCTTCTTGAATTACACCTAAGGTCCCACAAAAAAACTACACCTAAGGTCCCACAAAAAAAACTACACCTAAGGTCCACAAATGATTTTTGTCTTGCCACTACTTTTGTCTTCCCACAAATATTTATGACTCAAATTCAATTCATACTTAACAAAGTCAATATCAATTGCATCATTTTACTTTCGTGAAATTCACTAAAATAATCTCTACTTTTATGCATTCTACAATAATAGTCCTTACGGAGAGAGTATTCATAAAAATAATTCATACTAATAATATTTCCTCCGGTCCTAAATAAACTTCACACTTTCCTTTTTGAGTAGGTCCAAAATAAACTTCACACTTCTATTTTTGGAAAGTTTTTAAGATAAAGTTACCCTTATACCCTTACTTTATTACCTACTTTACACCTGCTTTCTCTCTCCCACTACACTTTATTTACTTTTTGTAGGGGTATGATGAGGAAGTCGAAACAAAAAATTCCACTTTCTTAAAAACCGTAAAGTCAAACCATGAGGATTATTTAGGACCGGAGGGAGTATTTAATAGGGTCTCGGTTGACACTTTTATGTTTCAACCAAGAGAGAACCACATATGGCGGATATAGTGTTGATATTAAACGAGTTTTAGTTTGAATTTGTCCCAAGAAGAAGAGTTGACTGTATTAAACTAACATTAATCTGAATTCATTCCAATTTGTTATTATGAACACCATTGTCACTTTGTATTATTTTTATGCACACTCAATAATCCGAAAAACCTTACTTAGAGCCAGTTTGGTGACCTCTTTTTTCGTCTTATCAGGCTTATCAGCCAGCTTTTTTCACAAACACGTAACTTTTGATTTCACGCACTGAATTTTGTAATAAGTAGAAAAAGTAAGGTTGAAGTTACTTTTGTGGCTGTATTGGCTGAAATTGCTGTAGAGGATCATTTTAGCTATTTTTTCATTTAATTTTTTATTTAATTTATTAGTAACAAATATTTTAAATATAATTTTTTCATGAATAAGCAGAATCAGCCAATACAGCCACTTCAGTCATAACTTCACAAATTTCAGTAGAATCAGCTAATTTCCCTAAACGCGACGCAGGAAACCTAGAGTCCTAAATTTGAGTATAGATGTTGACCTGAAGAGGAGAGAGATTAGCGGCAAAAAACTGATCGACAGTGAAGTACTGGCTATTAAGTTTGCGGCACATATTCCCACCAGCCAAACACGCCCTAATCTTTTCCCAATTATCCGAACTCGTAAAATGGTTTCTCAGCCAAGAAGAGTACCCTTCCAGCCGGTACTCAGCGAAGCCCCGCCCGGTCCCCTGTACACCGTACGCGCCGCTAGGACGGGTGACGACGAAGGCGAAAACCAGGACAAAGAGCACGAGGACGATGAGTATGGCCATACAGACCAGGTAGAAGCTGAGAAGCCCCTCTCTCTTCCAGTGCGCGCCGACGAAGCCGGTGAGTGAGACGAGCATAATGGAGACTCCGATGATGACGATCGGCCACCGGAGCCAGTGGACGCACTCGTTGCCCTGCTTGAATGCGAGCCATATTCCGGCGGTGGTGATCGGAATGGAGCACATGAAGGCCAGGAAGTTGAGGAAAGCGGTGATGTTGTTGCTGACCGACATGAGAGGCGGGCGATGATGAGAGAGGTGGCCGCGGCGTTGCTTTGGTTGAGAGGAATCGTTTGGACAATGTGTAAAGAGCCGCGTCCGGCCGCGTCGTGCTGATTAAAGGTGGCGATGATGATGAAATTTAGAGGGGAAAAAAAGGTGTTTTGTTCGTGAGGAATCGTTTGTCCGTTCCCGTTTGATAACTTCACTTTTTGAATTGATAGGTCACAGGCTCACAGCATGGGTAAGATTTCGAGAAAACTCAGAATAGAATAGTACAGTAGTATTGAAAATTTCAAAATATAAATAAATTACTCCCTCCGTCCCTGTATAAAAAGAATAGGAACGGCCCAAAAAAGAAATAGAAACTTTTATTTAGGGACGGAGGAGTAGTTTTAGTTTGGATAATGTTGTATTTAAAGATTGATAATGCAGAAATATTATAGTAATTACTCTTATTTAAAAAATAAAAATATGATCGTTGAATTTTGAAATTCCAAAATATTTTTATTTTTATTTAGAACAATTTCTTTAAGGTGTTTTTTATCAATTCATGATGTTGTTATGCTCCACCTGCTCCAATGTAGTAGTAAGGATGTTTTCTTTTGAACTGAAATTTGTTGGTTTGGTCTGATCTATTTAAGTCTGATTTGATTTGTTTTTGGTCTGAATTGGCCTGGTCTGATAAACGTTCGGTCTCTATGTATTTCATAATTATCCAAGTCTGATCTGATTTGGCATGTTTAAGTCTCATCTAATCGGGTCTGATGTGATCTGGTCTGAAATTGAAAACAATCTAAAAACATCCTAAATAACGAATTAGATATTCCCTACATCCTCCTATTGTTTCATTTTTACTTTTTCGTCCAACTAAGTTTGCAAATACCATAAATACGGAGTAATATTTTGTGGATCTAATTCACCTTTACCATACTTGTATTTATATACTCCGTATTGTACTAATTCAATATCAAATACGTAAGTTATTTTTCTTAAAACACGTTCAATCCATCTTGTCACAATTTTAAGAAGACGTTTGCCAATACCATATTTGATACTCCCTATGTCCCATTGGACTTTGCAACTTTTCCCTTTTTAATTATTCCAAAAACTTTACCACTTTCATATTAAAGTAACTAATTTGTGGTTATGCACATTTCTCTCTCCTCTGCACAAATCTCAACCACACAGTTTTTACTGTTCTTACTTCACACTTATTTTGCACTTGGCAAAGTCTACCGGGACGGAGGTAGTAATATTTTGTGATTTTAATTCAATCTTGTCTTATTTATATACATTGTACTAATTCAATATCAAATATATGTTATTTCTCTTAATTAAAACTCGCTCAATCCTTCTTGTCCCAATCTTATGGTGACAAAGGTAGTATCTAATATGAAAATGTAAGACAACATAATCATCTTTTAATGTTATTAACTCTTTTTTCCTGCAAAAATTGAATGTCTTTTTACACTCTCTTATTTTGTAAAATTGCTAGAAGTGTCCCTGATTTGACATACTCAGTATATAATAACAACAAAAAAACAAAAATAACAACAACAATATTATAAGGAACCATATGAGTAATTTGGGGAGCCTACACAAATCTGGATTGGACTAGAGTGAAAAGTAAAAAAATATAGGTTTAAACTAGGGGTGAGCAAAAATACCGAACCGACATGGTACCGAATCGAACCGGTATGGCACCGGACCGAAAAACAGGGTTTGAAACGGATCTCGAATTTTTTGTCCCGAACCGGACCGTACCGGTTCTAAACAATGCCATGACCGGTTCTCATAAAATGACAACCGATACCGGACCGAACCGAAGTATGATTTAATTATTTAAATTTATATTTAAATCATTACTTTAACTAGTGCTTTCACACTTTTACCGCCTTTGCTAGTACATAGGAAGCCTGGAATCGGACCGATGTATGGTTTAATTTTTGAAATTTGTACTACTATAGTTTATCTGAAATTTATTAATTATGCAATACTAACTCCGTCGCAAATTGATTTGCAAAATTAACTTTTCTTGGTCAAATAGTTTCATTTTATTCACTTAATTAGAATGTCAATTTTTAATTATATTTAATTTGGAGCTTGCAACTTTGAAGAGATGTTAATGTATGCAGTTTTTGAATATGTAAACTTTATGATGGATAGTCTACCCGGGGGTATTTATCCGAAGAGTTATTGCGGGGAATAACTTAGAGAGAAGTCAGAGCAAGTAAGTAAATGTAGAGAGAGAGTGTATTCAGTCTGAATGTCGTGGTTACAAACGGGGAAATGGGGTGCTATTTATAGTAGCAATAAATGCCGGACAGGGACACGTGTCAAACGCCTATTGGCCGAGGGGTCACCTCAACTGGTTGGCGTTGGCAGCCGCATGTGGCCGCATTTAATGCGGCTGTTGGATGGGACGTCTGTACAGGGTACGGCGATCTGCACGCATGTGAGGCGGATATTATGTCGGGAGAGGTGCCCTCGGCTGCAGAGGACTAGCCGAGGGCTCTTAGTGCTGAGGGCCCCTGAGTGCCGAGGGCTCCAGGTGCCGAGGGCTACTGTTTTCGCCGTTTTTTCCCAGTTCCTCTGTTTGTTCGAAATGTCCGTTCTGTGAGAGTTTGGAGCCTTCGGCCTAGGGGGCGAAGGCACCCCTGGTGCGTCTTGTGGGCTGCTTGGTACTCTGGGCGCCGTGATTTGGGCCTGTTGGGCCTTCTGGGCCTGTTGGGCCTCTAAAGGAGTAGTAGGAGTCTGTGGACCGGGTGTTCCCGGGCCATATACTCCATCAGGAGTCCCTCACTCCTTTTGCCGAAAGGTATTTGAGGGAAAAGGAGTAATTTGTGCTTGCCCTTTGATGTTGTCTTGTTCGTGATTTCTGAAGTTGGTGACGAGTTGTTGCTTTTATGTCCCTGCCGAAGGCAGTCCCTCAGTTACCCACATGTCGGGACTTGAGGGCTTGCTTTATCGTTTGTTGGAATTTCACTAACTTTGTAATTTAATGATTTTCCCGAGGGGGTTCTCCAGTCCCCCACTCCTTGAGGCACTTGTAAAGTGGTGAAAAGGAGTAGAGTAGTTGCGTTGCTGTTGTGGGCCGAAGGCTGACGTTTTTCATTTCATTTTGGGGGGATGCCTCGTTAAAAACCTCATTAGAAAAAACCCTGTGGGAAAAAATCCTAATGAGGGAAAAAGAGTGCACCGGATTCCCCCAATGATGAATCGAAAATGTCAAACCTTGGTCAAAAATGGAGAATAACGGTAATGCCGAAGGCTCTTCTTTTTCTGACGGCTCGTGTGTTGATTGGCCGAAGGCTTGCTGTTGATGTCCTGGGGGCGCCGAAGGGGAGTCCCTCAATCCGGGGATCGAGGGCCTGCTGGATGAGGGCAGCAGTGGAGTTGTTACCGGGGGTCCACTGTTTGTCGATTAGTTGGTGATGAAGATACCCGAGGGCTCCCATTACCTGTGTGCCATGGGCTATCCGTCAATGAGGCAACTCCCCAGGGGCTACCCGGTTTACATTGTTGAGGGGGAATCCCCCGAGAGGTACCCTGACATGGAGCCTTGGGTTTCTGAAGGAGTGATCCCGAAGGCGTTTGTTATGTGCTGTGGGGGGCACAACCCGGGGGCGTTTCGGGGTAAGTGTACCCGGAGGCTCTCCTTGACGAAGAGGAGTGAAGTGGAAAACCCGGGGGCTTCCAGAATATAGCCGTTGGAAATATAGTCGTTGGAATATGTAACGACAGGATATAGACGTTGGGGGGGGCACACGTGACGTGTGATGGCTGGCTGTCCGTGGGCGGCATCACTGGTTGGGTGAAGACGCGGTGTGTAATGATGGCGGTCCATCCGGAGGCCCGGAATCCAGGCCCAAGCCCGGATTCCAGCGCCTATAAATACCCCAAGGCCAGAGCCATTTCTTCTTGTGCAATCATCTGTCTTAGCGAAGCTCTGCCAAAAATTCTAGAGAGAGAAACTCAAGCCTTCGGTCAAAAATCAGCTTTCGAGGTCAGTGCCCCCCGCCTTTCTCCTTCTAGTTTAGCTGTGCCTTGTGCCCTCAGGTTAGGAGATAGAATTCCCTAGAAACCTTAGTTCCCCCGAACCCTCGAGCTAGAGTTAGAATGTCGTCCCAGAGTGACTCTCAGGACATCTCGAGGACCCCCTCGGTTCAGGACGAAAGCATCTCCGACATGGAGTCCAGTAGCAGTCAGCCCTCGGGTGGTGGTGATGCAGCTCTCGCCACCGAGGTGCTGAAGGATCTGGTGGCCGAGGTCGAGGCGGAGGAGTTCGAGCGAACCGCCGAGGATGAAGAGTTGGCCCTCGCCGTCCAAGTTGCTGAAGAGGAGGAGGAAAAGGAGAGGGCGAAGGTCACTGTCGCTGTTCTTCCCCCCGGGGTTCTGGGGAAGCAAGTAGTTCGAGGCCGCTGGACCCGACGCCGTTGAGTGTAGCCCCCGGGAAGAAGAGGAGGAAGACGAAGGCTGGCTGATCGGTTTGAACTTGCAAGTGTACAAGTGCCGATATAGTAATAAATTCCGGTAAAATACCGGGTCGAATCCACAAGGAAACGTTGTTTAATTCAAGTCTGAGAGTAGATAACTTTAAATGAAGAATTGAATAAAGTGCAGGGATTTTGATTTGTGTTTTATATTTTTGGTTTTTTCACTTTTTGTTCAACAAGATAATTGTTAACTAACTTTGAGTTCAAGATAAATGATAACAACAACTAAGGCTTCGGGAATCACTTAAATGCTTAAATAGGGTTGAATATTAGTTCTTTGCCAATAATTATGAATACGATGTCGCTAATATATTCTCAACTCCGGTTAAGGCAGCGAGAGCGTGGTTTTCGTTACGTGTAAGTCCCGTTACGGCTTACATTCATCTACCGAAAACCCCGTTGAATATCAAGACATCACACCCGTATCATATAAGACCGGATATATTTCTATTCTCGGTACTATATATGTTTATCCTTTAGTGTTCATAGTTTAGACTTCAACGTTAATTGCAAGTATAAACTAAATTTAACATACTTCTATGTTGTACACCATAGTCATAAACAATCAATATATAAAGGATAAATCACAATTTATTGGTTTAGAACTTTTATCAAACACCTAATGGGCATAGAAGTTCATCCCTAGCCTTAGCTATGAAATTAGCCTCTAATGCTCATATTAATCACAATACAATAATAAATGTAATGGAACATGAAATTACAAAGGAAATAATACCT